AACGAATTCATCTCAATTACTGCTACAGTAAATAAAGTGAACTTCTGCAGTCTGGAGCCAAATGCATTACTGAGACCTCTATTACGGCAATGGTAAGCAGATGTGCCACCCAGCGCCAATGTTTGCCTGGGTCTGCTTTCTCTAGGCAAACTGTGAAACAAAGTGGTGAAACACATTAAATGAACACAAAAGGAGATGCGCCAATCAGGAGTTTCCAGGCCGACGCCTGGTTTAGCTTGTGCTGTGACCAGATGATTTGGTTTTTAGCTGATTACTCTGTGACGTGTAAAATAAAAAGAAGTGTGTTCTTTATAGAGTTTAAATGACAGCAAAGAGAAGAAATTATGACATTATCTGAATGTATCCAAAGTCATATGTTCCTAATCTTTGTCTGACTTCTATTAAACTCTTATCATAGTGCACAATGTTGGATAATATGTTTATTTGGTTCAGATTTCTAGATTTGAGGCGATTAGTGAATAGCATTAAAAAAAACCCCTGAATTTTCACAATGTGATCTGCTAATGACTGATCAGGGCCAATGAAGGCCGATTTGAATCGCTGACTGATTGATTGGTGCATCAATCACTTCCTTTTACACAGCAGGGGTCTAAATCACAAGACGTACTTTAAATGACTAGTCCCTTAATTATAAAAAAAAATCTTTTGCATGCACCCTATCAAAAAGCACATTCAAATCCAGCTGCATGTCTTAAAAATGTCTACCCTGCCAAAAACAATAAACTGCTCATATTTAAAGATTTGACTTTCTGTGTGGTGCTGTGTCTTGTTTTTATTTGCTTGCAATTCACATCCTTGAAGTTTTGCCAAGTTTTGCCAAGTTTTATGCGCTTACTGAGGTTTTTTTAGAGATCAGAGAATTTTGTAAAAAAAAAAAAAAAAAAGTATTTTCAAAGGCAGATTTTATTTCGCTTATAGGGATAACGTTAAGAAACGACACAAATGTTACATTTACGTCTCTTTAATAGTTTTTACATAAAAATGCTCAGCATAACCTAAGTATTTTGCATGTGAATGAAATAAATAGCAAAACAAACAAAAAAAAATAACAAAACAACAATGAACCGAAACAATACAAAATAATTATTATAATAATAACAATAACGTAGACTTGATTCATTTTGTCTTTGGACCACAAGTAGAGAAGAAAAAAAAAAAAAAAAAAAAAAATGGCTGTGGGAGTGAAACCACCATAGCACCATGGCTCGGTTTTAGTGAAGATACTCACATACTCACTAACACACACACACGCACACACATACACAATAACAATAAGGAGCAGGAGCACCAAGAAGGGGAGCTACCTATGTATCCTCTACAGAAATGACCCCAGATCTGGTGAGATCATCTCAGATAAAACAGCCTATGTCTGCCTGCGGAAGGTTATTCATTTGTAGGACTGTAAATTAAACTCGAGCGTTTATTCTGAAAACATCATCACAGGTTAGTTTGTTTGAGTTTGATCTTAGTTCAGAAGTCGCCTCCCTCAAGCGAACATTCCCACACATCTGCATCGTTTCAGACTGAGTAGTCGGTTCTAATGGCGAACTCTCGTGTTACCATGACAGCCAGTTCAACGTCATTTCTGAGCGTTAAAGCTGAATATCTGAATGCTCTTTGTGTTTTTCTTTCTTTACAACCCACTAAACCCATCTGCTCTGTCAGTTTTCATCCACTGTTTATTAATATGAATATGATATATGTTTTTTTTAGCTTTTAATTTCTTTTTTTAATGGTTTCATGTCACGACGACAACTGAGGTGAAGTTAAAGACTTTGGAGGTAATTGTTCACTTAGCTACCACCATTGTGCTCGATAGTTGGTACCGTCTTAGGGCCTTGTTGACAAAACTGCTAACTATTTGACCGTAAATATTTCTTATAAAAAATATTTAGCTGTCTTATTTTATTTTTCAGGAAAAAAGGATGCCAATTTCTCCTGTCTTCTCTCTTCTATCCACGGTGGTGTAAAATTTGAATCGCTGCAAACAAATCCATCGCAGGACAACACAGAGACATACCCAGCTCTTGTTTAAAAAAAAAAAAACAAATAAAAAAAAACCTTGACGTTCCATGTTGTTCAAGTTATTATTACTCTGAAAAACTAATGGTTCACATAAAATAGTAAAAGCCAAGAATTATGACATTCATTATTGCCACTCGTGACGACTGCATGGACGTGTTAATCAGGACAACGTATGTTTCTAAAGTCGTAACGCCTTCGTTGTGACCCGAGTAAGAACAAATAGCAGTTAAGACGGGAGACGTGAGCCAGCACCAACAAACTGATGTTTTAAAAATGGAGAGTAACTTTAGTCAAGTGTTCAGTCTGAGCTGGAAAAAAAATATTACAGCTGCAACAATTAATAATCTGTTGTAAAGAAATAAGTATGTACATATTTATATATGTTTTATTTTGGAACAAAAATCCTTCAGAACAAAACAAACAAAAAGAAAAGAAAACTGGCCATACGCAGAAAGACAAAAACGACAACGGACGACCGGAAAAGCATCTGTGTGCCGACGTTTGAATTTGCGGTCAATAGCACCCCATGTAACGAAATAAATACTTCTTTTAAAACTTGAAACCTGATAATACTTAACAATACCCAGAACATTTCACTATTCTATTTAAAGAAGCACACAGAAGCTGCTAATGTTCGTATCAAATTCCACTCATTTGCAAAAGTGAAGCAGGTGTTGGTTCTGAAGTGCCGAGCCGACATGATTAGCTGAGATCCCAGGCAAAAGTTGACTTATTTTAGGAAGATCCGTTTTTTTTGTTGTTTTTTTTTGACTTGATGGGATGGAGAAATTACAGCATGGAGCCACATGTGTGACAAACCTTAAGGCTGCAGCAGAGAGTCCTGAGAGAATCTTGACGTTTCGATAACATGACCACCGACAGATCGCTTTCCTGCAGCGTTAGGTCGTTTCTATGCCATTGGCACAACTGCAACAAATTGGCAATCTTGAGCTTGAATGGCTTTAAGCTTTGTGTGGACGGAGGTTATGAGCAGCAGCTCGTACACCATCATGATCGACTCCGCTAAGAAGCACATCATCTGTCGCATTCTACTCTCAGTTTTAAACGCATATTTTAATAAAAGTTGCCTACTGCAGCTTTAAAGTTTTTTTTATTGGAGTAGCATAATTTCACTCTGAAAAAAATTACTTTTAATTTTAGCATATTTATTCAGTTACTCATTTATTCATATTTGTATTTTCTTTTACTTTATTTAAATACTTGATTTTAATACTAATACTTTCTTCTTTTTATATCACCTCTTAGTCTTCTGCTACTCATTTCACAAGACTGAAGCAAACAGAGAAGGCGTAACCTTTAAACTCTCGTCTCTGCACAGTTTCTCTACATCGCCCAGAGTCCCAGTTCTCTCTTTCACTCTCTTCAACTCACCCAACTTGTTGTCGAAACAATCTTGGTCTGAAGACTCAGATGGCCTTGGATGGAAGGTAAATTTTGTACAAATAAACCATCTCTTAATATTATTCCGATCGTTATGCTGCATGGCTGCTTTCATGATACAGACATTAATCATCCCAGTTTGAGAAACCAACATATTGTCCGCTTGTGCTTCACTGAACTTGGCTAAAAGAGACGGGTGGTGTCACAGGCTGACTCTGTGCATCACCTGAGGGTTTGGTTTGATGGACTCAACCACAAAGACGAACCTTAAGACAAACAAGATAAATCCAGAATATCCTCTAAGACGTGTTGTTGAGTCGTGACCTGCTCCCTCTGCAACAGGGCACAAGTCAACTCGAGGGAAAATATGCGAAAATGTAATGCAGAAAAAACAATTCTGGGGGCAATGGAGAGTCATACACCCTAGTAAAATATTAGGAGGAAAAAAAGCCAATTATTTATTAAGATGTTGATTTTTTTTCCCCTCATCATGCAACACTTATGTGGAATTTTCTCAGTTATTCAGTGTTACATTATGCTACTCCAGTAAAACTTCATGCATTCCATGAGTTTTATACATTTTTATAGTGGGTTGCAACGATAAGTGCAGAGGCAGACTGGAAAGGCTTCACTAACCAAACAGAACGTCTTGATATTATATAAAAAAAAGCCTTTCCTTATGACGCTTACTGTCAAATAACACTACATTTAATTGCACCTTATTCTGTTTAACTCTTATTTCTAGGACAGCATTTCAACCTTTTTTTTTCAAACTGCTTGACGACTTGGACATTTTCCAGACCTTCACACGGAGATGAAGCGTTTTTTGTTTTTTTTAATTCAGTTTGAGTACAAGCGCAATCAAAAACAGGAATGAAAACTACGTTCCTCTGTACAAACTGTATTTGCCCATCGCGGGACGGGAGAGGTTCTGACCAGGAGCACCGGTAAAATATTAAAACAAAAAAAAAAATAGCTACTTGGAGAAATAAAATCAAACTGTACAACGATACATACACAAAATACACTGAGAGGCCTTTGTTGCTGTTCAATAGAGGCCATAATATTAACTCTTATACACAAATATACACTTGTGTACTGCAGATACAGGGTGAAGACAGCAGGGATTATTTTCTTCACGCCTAATATATGAAATAAATACTTCCCTCCATAAATCTAAGGCACTGCTGGACAGCACTGTCCTGATTTACAGGTTTTAATTTGAAGCCTAGAGTCCAAAATGGTTTCCATGTGTTTTTAATGACGCTCTAGGTGGAGCAGCATTGTTGCTGCATGTTTTCTTTTTTTTTTTTTGCATTCTAATCAGCACCATGCCACTGAGGGGCCCATCTGGGTGGGCTGAAGTCGGCTAGTAAACAGTGAAGCTCGATACCCGGCATTTACTTCAGGAACTCCTACAGTTTCCCTCCTGGAGCCATTATCGTAACACACGATCTCTCTCTTTTTCACAGTGATGCATCCCTCTCCCCCCCTCCCCGCCTCCCCCTAATTGAGGAAAGTAAATGTTGGAGGTGAAATTAGTACTATCGTACCGGCTTCCACGGTCGGCGATGCCAGGACGCGGCGCCCGGGCAGGACTGGAGGTTGCACTGCTCCACGTCGTGCGGCTTGTCCAGGACGTCGCAGTTGTAGTCGTTGAGTCTCTGACCGCTGGGCCTTTGACACACCACCAGGCGAGTCTTCCTCCCTCCACCACAAGTCTGGGTGCACTGAGGGGGAAACGGCGGAGGAAATGCGTCAAGCTTCTGGTGCTGCTCTGGCTAGTTGGGACCGCAGACGTGACGCGCCAGCTTTACTTTTCTCCCATTAATCTAGGCTCTCTTTCTACAGCACCTGAATGTTATGTCTTGAAAAGACGGAAGAAGGAAATCTAGCACACACCTTATAGACCAGCGGCGTCCAACTCACTTTCGCTTTGGGCCACATCAAGGTCCCGAATGTTGTGGCAGAATATCCTGATAAAACTCATTCAGAACCTCGTAATAAACACCAGTCCATCTTTTCACGCTGATATGATTTGACAATATGCAAATTAAAACTGATCTGATTGATAAAATAATATTTACGCACACAACAATAACCTTAAAGGTTCTTTTCATAAAGTCAAGTTGTAAAAATGTGCACTGGGCTGGATTTGGGCCCTGAGTTTGACGCATTTGGATTCAGACCACACCTGGTTAGATGTTTTATCTTTCATTTGATTCTCTGCTGACGGAAAAGTTTTCAGAGGATATTCTTATTGGTGTTAAAATACAATGTCGCCTGTGTCAAACCTTTTTTAAGAGGCTCGGCGAGACGGGTTGAAACCGATGTGTGTGTTTTTTTTTTTTTTTTTTACTTGTTCCAAGCAACAAAGTGCAAAACGATCCAATTTACCGTCTCAGATTCTGGGGATTTTGTTGCGAGTCTGCATTTGATCATCTTCTTTCAATTTGCAAGCACAAGAAAGAGGACTTTTGATGTTTATTGGGGACAAACATTAAAAAAACTGGCAATAAATGGACAATTCAAACCTGGACTGGAATATTTTGCGTGTGATGTTACAATGACAAGTTTCTTTGAAACAGTTTGTAACCTGTGAAAGCTTTCATCTCCCTCTCGTGAGACGGGCACTGCATGTTCTCAAGACCTGGATGTGCATCGTTATGCAAATCTAGGATTTTCAGCAGGTTTCCTAAAGTTTCTGTCTCTCTTTCTTTAGCTTTTTCTTTTATCTTGTCGTCTCATTCTCATCAATAAAGGTGTAGTTCAATTACAACCATTTTCAATAAGCAATATTTCTGGCAGGTACTTGCTAATAACACTTCCTTCTTTTTACCCATCATGCTCATTTACATTTTACCTTCATATTTCCGCTTTTATTCCTGTCCTCTCAGTTTCCGTTCACATCTTACTCTCACTTTGCTTTGGGTTGAAGAATTACAGATCTGAGTTTTTGCCTCCAATGCTCCTCCATTTAGATCCTAAAACTACCGATCACATGAATTTATAACGTGATCGTTGACGTTGTTATGCATCCGCACAACACAGAGTCATCCTTTGAGGTCAGGAGTCTTTGTTTGCCTTTCAATGCAAATAAAAAATGCATTCCTAATTTAAGAAAAAAAAAAAAAAAGGTCAGGTACAAGAACGACCGTAACCCTGAATATAGTCTCACCTCGCCCCAGACCCCGTAGTTCCACAGAGGGCAGGGCCCGGAGTCGCAGCTCTTGGACTCGGCAGGTTTGACCCTTTCGTCGCAGTAGCTGTTGCTCCGCCCGTCAGCGTCCTGGCAGACCACCACTCGCCTCTGGAAGCCTCCCGCACAGGTGCTGGAGCACTGAAGGAAACACGCAGCTCATCAGGATGCATTATTTAGCTCCGTTTGTGGGTCTTTAAATATATCGATCGCTCCGATCTGCCATGACGCTGCATAAACTTCTATTGTTTTGGCCAGTTTCTGCCGGAAACACTTCGGCTTTAATGTTTGTTTATATTTATTTCAATTCAAACTATTTCACGCCTGAGCACCGTTTCTATTTACCTTGGTGAGAAAAGATATGAAAGGACTGCAAAGGTATTCAAGCCCCTTAGTTGTACAAAATTACTTTGCTTGTATTGGGAATCTATGTGACAGACCAACACAAAGTGCTTTTTTTTTTTTTTTTTTTTAAAGCTGAAGGAAATTTACACTTTAACTGGACCGTAGCTCTGCACCAATCCACTGCAGCTTTGGCTGAACGTTCAGAGCTGTTGAGGCTCCTCCTCTGCCTCAGGTCTTTTAAAGCTTCCCTTTTTTGCTGGATTACCCTGTATTTAACTCGTTCCATCTTGTTATCAGCTTTCAAGTTCGTTCCGTGAGCTCCATGTGTTCTTTTCTTCGTGTAGTCAGGAGAGGTCAAAGGGGTTTTTCCACAAAGCTCTCCATGTCCAATACGCGGCTTGTAAGGAAACTGTGCTAAATGTTTGGATTTTTAAAGCTCACTTCATTTTTTTCACAGAAATATATATATAAAAAAAGGGAACCAATGCCAATATTTTTCCCCTACATGGATAGATAAGGATTTTTCATCTACTGATGGAAATAGATGTAGTTTAAAGATCTTTTTCAACCTCTAAGCAATAACCATTCAGTGCCAAGATGATCTAACCACGAACAAACGTCTTCCAAAAAGAAGTCAGAGGATTCTGCCTTGACATAAAGTAATCGAATGGCCCTGAATCAAATCATAATGATGCATCCCTTCTGTTAGTGGGAGGGAGAACACAGAGTACCGGCTCCATGTGGGGGAGGACAGCACGGGCTGAATCTAGACGCTGCGTAAACATCGTAATTTAAAATTAAAACCATTAGTTTGCAAGGAGGATTTTTTTTTTTCTAACATGACAATTTCGACAGAATAAAATCACCATGAAAGGTCAAATCAAGTTGACGGAGGCAACGTTGCAAACGGGTTAAAAACAAAATGTCTGCTGCTTCATCTGCCTTCAGGATTTACAGCTGCTTTCATTGCGTCAGAGTTTTATCGTGGAAACCTTTGTCCTTTTTTTTTTGTTGTTTGTTTTTTCACAGGCTAACCAACACATCCATGTCAGAACATAAAGTACATCATAAGGTTCACTGTGTCTCCACTTGCCTTCTGCTTCGAGAGACAAAACCCATCTGCTTCCTCAAGCTCGAATCTAATTGGTTCAAAAGATTGTCTTCGGGCGCAAAAAAAAAAAACATACACGCATACCTCAAGTGCAGGCAAAACCACTATTATTCGCTCGCTGCTATTTTTCTAAAACGTGCTATTTGTGCTGAACATACTGCGCCCCACGGTCCGGTCCTCCACTGGTTGTCTGCGGACGGGACGTTCCAGCTGCTGTGTCCCGGATGACGTCCCGGATCCTGAGGGTATCCGTAGGGTTGTTCGTAAATGTGCTGACGGTTGTAGGCGGAGGGGCAGGGAGCAGCCGTGCACTCTTGCTCGGCCGCGGGCCTCTCGTCGGGATCGCACAACGACTGGTCCACCGGCTGGTGGTAGTCGGAGCAGACCACGTGTCTGGTGGTCCGTCCGACGCCGCATGTCACCGAACACTGGGAAAGTCCGGAGGAAATGTTTGCAAGCACAACGGAGAGAAAAAAAATGAATTGTCAGTTTTTTCCCCCAATGTAAAAATGTGAAACTTCATGGAGTTTTACACAAGTTATAAATAAATAAAATTTATGGCAATTGACGACATGTTACAAATGCCTTGGTTTTAGTATGTAATATCACAACATTCAGCAAATATCTGCAATGATACATTTACACATACTGGAGGTTATTATTGGTGGTGTGTTTGGTGGCGTTTCAGATTCTGTGTCTTTCTCTCTGTCACTTATGTGTTTCCTTTCCAAGCTCAGTCTTACACAACCAGAGGGAGCATTTCCCGGTTAAACTTTTTTATTCGGCGAAGACCGGATTTTTGCTACGTGTCAAGAGTAGGGCATGAAGCGCTTTATTTTGTACTCCTGTCCCATCGTCAAGTATATCAGAGGTAGGAGATTTACTTTGTCTCCTACTCGCAGTAGAGCAAAGGAGAGTTATAGACGGACTTTTAAACGTTTGCATTAGGCGCGCACGAGCGAGCAGGGTTCGATCCGTCCGTTGGTGAACTGCAGTTTTTCTTCGAAAATGAGGAATCATATTAATGCCATTGCAGGCGAACCTGTTCTGCAAGAGCACCCTCCAAATTATCCAAAGTGGAAGGAGCTACAACAGTTCAGAGGTGTTGTACAACCAGGTGTCATGACCAGACGCTGCGACAGCCACGCACACTCGTGTCACGTTCAATGCTTCGACATTAAACCTGGTTTGAGAGAGCAGCAAAGCACCCACATAGGGATAGAAACATATCATGATTTGATCATGGTATGTTTGATTTGATTTGTAGGGGAAACACTGCATCCCTAGTCTACAAAACAAAACGTTCTCCAGATATTGACTCCCATCAGGCACGCGATGAACCACCGAACAAAATCTCACAACATTTTGACATTCAGTTTGGATCGCTGGCTAGTAACCGCCTAATCTATCGTACATGGACTCCTTGCCCTGAACTATTTGAACTTCTTTGTCTAATTAGATTTCTCTAGGACATTTTCCAGGTCCAGAATTTGGCCCAAAGTCAACAGTGTTACTTTTAATTGTTTCCACAAACTGCTTAGCAATGCTACCCCTCAAGACGTGAAGACTTGTAAAGCTTCGACTGAATGAGAAAATGAAGGAGAAATCAATTTAATGTGCCAAATTAAATTTAACAGACTTATTTTTTCCATCAAAGAAGTTCATTTGGCTTCAAAGGGCTATTAACCAGACTTTTTTTCCCCCCTCATAAGATCAGAGAGTTTAAAATTGAACGATGATGTTAAATAACTACGAGCTTCACTGCAGTACTGCTTTTTAATGGAAAAAAAAAAAAAAAACAAAGCCTTAGAGAGATTTTAAAAATAATTTATTAAATTGTTGTTAATGTGTATCTAAGCCTTTGATGTTGTACTTACAGCAGACCATTCTCCGGCATGCCACTGACCACAGGGGCTGAAGCAGGTGGAGAACTCCGGGGGCCGCGGCAAGTGAGCGCAGTACGACTCGTCAGCCACTCCGCCCTGAGCGTCTCGGCAGCTGACGTACCGCGCACGCTTCCCCTTCCCACAGGACACGGAGCACTGCGCAGAAAAAGATTAAAAATTAATAAAATAAAAAAAAATTAAAAAAAGGCAGTGATTAATTAGAAAATGCACAAATTTTAAACTTCAGAGCATTAGGAGAAAGGTAAAACGTTTGATTAAAAATGGAGTGTTTTCAACTCTAATCGAAAAGAAAAACTGTTTTTGTTTTTTGTTTTTTTTTACAGGAATTTGTAAGGAAAGAATTTAACCGTACTAGAAGCAGACTTGGATAACTGATTATGTTAAATAATGAGTCACGTCACAGAAATGGAAGTCAAAAACCTTGTTTTTTAAAAATCGCTCATATAGTTGCAAAAGCATTCATACAACAAACTCATTGCATTTATTGGGTTTTTATTTGATAAACCAACAAATACATGTCTAAAGATTTTTTGGCTGCCATCTTTGTATATTTAGGGATTGTTATTTTTTTGTAAACTATTATCTACAAACTAGTTCATGGTTAGATTAGATGCATAATATCTGCAAACAACAACTTTCACCAACGATTTTACATTTGATTGGAGTCTGGACTTAGGCTGGGTTCCCTTTCTGCATCAAATTACTGAGATAATCATTAAAATAACATAGCCATGATTATGAAAATGAACAAATCTAAATGCTTTGCTGTGAATCAATGTATTGTACAATAGTGTAAATTCCACAGAAGCACCGAGAATATTTTTTGCAGCCGAGGAAAAACCTCACGACTGATTGATGAACATGCGATACAACCTACAATGATTTTTTAAGGAGCCAGAAAGTGTTTCTCTTTGAATATGAGAGAATCTGCGTGTGTGTGTGTGTGTGTGTGTGTGTGTGTGTGTGTGCGTGTCTGAAGGTGTCTGGTAGAGAGGCCTGCTTGGCATATGAGCTCACATCAACGTTCAGACTGACGGAGACGATTCAACTGTGGAAATTGTACAGTCATGTTGAAATGAGATCTGCTTTCCATTTATGTAACAATGCAAACTATTAGGGAGAAGGAGGGGCCTCCGAGCCCAGGCCCCGGAGTGTGTGTGTGTGTGTGTCTGCATCTTTTTATTTGTGTGAGACAGAAAGCGAAGCTACAAAAGCACCAAACCATAAAAAAAGATAATAGCCGCGTAGAAAAAGTTTTATCTGGAGAAAAATGGAAAAACATGTCAAGTCATTCGGATAGGGACCCTCAAACTTAAAACCATACGTAGCAGTTGGTTGTGTATGGTTTGTTTCTACCAAATACACAGGAATGTAGATGCGTGGGTCAGATTTTACCGCCGTTGCCTTTACCTACACGTGTAAAATAACAAGAACAAACCACCGTGCTTGGCAAATGCCGCAGGTAAAACATCAAACCCGTCAGTTCTTACAGAAGTCCAGGAGCCGAATCTCCACTGAGTCACAAGCTGAACGGTGTTGTCAGGGCGAGGCGTAATCTGAGCTGCAGACGTCCGTGGGCACGCAGGCATCTCACAGTCCTACAAAACATGAAGTTTACCACAGTTCACCAGAGGATTAGGATAAGAAACTGAAATATTGTCTGACAGAATCTCCCAAATTAAAAACAAATAAATAAATAAAAAATCCAGATTATTCCTGCTAGAATTTACACCAACCAAACAAAAAGGTTAATCTGTTCGGATGCTCTAACTGGTACCAGAGCAGAAAAAGCAAAAGGAATGTACATTTGTCATGCTTAAGTAAGAAAAGATAAAAATAAAATCTTTAAACAACAGGAGAGACCCAATGCACATTGAAAAAAGTGAATATTTACACATGTAACAAGATAGTTGGTGTGCTTACAATAGAACGCATTGTTTTACAAAAGTAACAAACTGCATTTTGTCACTGAAATACATACAAATAAAGTCTAAACTCTTTAGTGTGGAAGCAGTTTGCTTAATTGGTTGTTTTTATTTAAAATGCCTCTTTAGCCCTACCTGACTGTCTCTGGGCCTCGCTGCAGCGTTGCACTCTCTGTCATCTACTGAGTCGCCGTAGTCCCCTAAGACGCACCTCACAGCCCTCATCTGGTACCCGTGTCCGCAGGTCACTGCACACTGAAACACAAAACCACACACGTGCTTAGACACAAATTAAAAAAAAAAAAAGAAAAGGGGCGGGGGGAAAGCGTAAAATAGTTGAAGCCCTCTCTTTTTCGAGGTCAGTCAACGTCCGTCAAGGGAAAAGCTGATTAAGACTTTGACGTGCACTTATATGCAGTTCACCCACAGAGTCAACCTGACCCTTCACCTAATTGCCCCTTCACTTACAAAGCCACCCGACTGTGATTAGAAACACCGCGAGAGTGAAAGGAAGTGCTGAGATGGGTTTATTTGACCAGCAATTTATAATCACACGAGCACAGAAGGGAAGATGCCCTCCAGCACTTGCAAATATCTTATTTCATAGAAACATGCAGGGAGGAATTAGCCTTGCATGTATAAACTATACAATGACATCCATTCATAGATGTTNAGAGACAAAACCCATCTGCTTCCTCAAGCTCGAATCTAATTGGTTCAAAAGATTGTCTTCGGGCGCAAAAAAAAAAAAACATACACGCATACCTCAAGTGCAGGCAAAACCACTATTATTCGCTCGCTGCTATTTTTCTAAAACGTGCTATTTGTGCTGAACATACTGCGCCCCACGGTCCGGTCCTCCACTGGTTGTCTGCGGACGGGACGTTCCAGCTGCTGTGTCCCGGATGACGTCCCGGATCCTGAGGGTATCCGTAGGGTTGTTCGTAAATGTGCTGACGGTTGTAGGCGGAGGGGCAGGGAGCAGCCGTGCACTCTTGCTCGGCCGCGGGCCTCTCGTCGGGATCGCACAACGACTGGTCCACCGGCTGGTGGTAGTCGGAGCAGACCACGTGTCTGGTGGTCCGTCCGACGCCGCATGTCACCGAACACTGGGAAAGTCCGGAGGAAATGTTTGCAAGCACAACGGAGAGAAAAAAAATGAATTGTCAGTTTTTTCCCCCAATGTAAAAATGTGAAACTTCATGGAGTTTTACACAAGTTATAAATAAATAAAATTTATGGCAATTGACGACATGTTACAAATGCCTTGGTTTTAGTATGTAATATCACAACATTCAGCAAATATCTGCAATGATACATTTACACATACTGGAGGTTATTATTGGTGGTGTGTTTGGTGGCGTTTCAGATTCTGTGTCTTTCTCTCTGTCACTTATGTGTTTCCTTTCCAAGCTCAGTCTTACACAACCAGAGGGAGCATTTCCCGGTTAAACTTTTTTATTCGGCGAAGACCGGATTTTTGCTACGTGTCAAGAGTAGGGCATGAAGCGCTTTATTTTGTACTCCTGTCCCATCGTCAAGTATATCAGAGGTAGGAGATTTACTTTGTCTCCTACTCGCAGTAGAGCAAAGGAGAGTTATAGACGGACTTTTAAACGTTTGCATTAGGCGCGCACGAGCGAGCAGGGTTCGATCCGTCCGTTGGTGAACTGCAGTTTTTCTTCGAAAATGAGGAATCATATTAATGCCATTGCAGGCGAACCTGTTCTGCAAGAGCACCCTCCAAATTATCCAAAGTGGAAGGAGCTACAACAGTTCAGAGGTGTTGTACAACCAGGTGTCATGACCAGACGCTGCGACAGCCACGCACACTCGTGTCACGTTCAATGCTTCGACATTAAACCTGGTTTGAGAGAGCAGCAAAGCACCCACATAGGGATAGAAACATATCATGATTTGATCATGGTATGTTTGATTTGATTTGTAGGGGAAACACTGCATCCCTAGTCTACAAAACAAAACGTTCTCCAGATATTGACTCCCATCAGGCACGCGATGAACCACCGAACAAAATCTCACAACATTTTGACATTCAGTTTGGATCGCTGGCTAGTAACCGCCTAATCTATCGTACATGGACTCCTTGCCCTGAACTATTTGAACTTCTTTGTCTAATTAGATTTCTCTAGGACATTTTCCAGGTCCAGAATTTGGCCCAAAGTCAACAGTGTTACTTTTAATTGTTTCCACAAACTGCTTAGCAATGCTACCCCTCAAGACGTGAAGACTTGTAAAGCTTCGACTGAATGAGAAAATGAAGGAGAAATCAATTTAATGTGCCAAATTAAATTTAACAGACTTATTTTTTCCATCAAAGAAGTTCATTTGGCTTCAAAGGGCTATTAACCAGACTTTTTTTCCCCCCTCATAAGATCAGAGAGTTTAAAATTGAACGATGATGTTAAATAACTACGAGCTTCACTGCAGTACTGCTTTTTAATGGAAAAAAAAAAAAAAAACAAAGCCTTAGAGAGATTTTAAAAATAATTTATTAAATTGTTGTTAATGTGTATCTAAGCCTTTGATGTTGTACTTACAGCAGACCATTCTCCGGCATGCCACTGACCACAGGGGCTGAAGCAGGTGGAGAACTCCGGGGGCCGCGGCAAGTGAGCGCAGTACGACTCGTCAGCCACTCCGCCCTGAGCGTCTCGGCAGCTGACGTACCGCGCACGCTTCCCCTTCCCACAGGACACGGAGCACTGCGCAGAAAAAGATTAAAAATTAATAAAATAAAAAAAAATTAAAAAAAGGCAGTGATTAATTAGAAAATGCACAAATTTTAAACTTCAGAGCATTAGGAGAAAGGTAAAACGTTTGATTAAAAATGGAGTGTTTTCAACTCTAATCGAAAAGAAAAACTGTTTTTGTTTTTTGTTTTTTTTTACAGGAATTTGTAAGGAAAGAATTTAACCGTACTAGAAGCAGACTTGGATAACTGATTATGTTAAATAATGAGTCACGTCACAGAAATGGAAGTCAAAAACCTTGTTTTTTAAAAATCGCTCATATAGTTGCAAAAGCATTCATACAACAAACTCATTGCATTTATTGGGTTTTTATTTGATAAACCAACAAATACATGTCTAAAGATTTTTTGGCTGCCATCTTTGTATATTTAGGGATTGTTATTTTTTTGTAAACTATTATCTACAAACTAGTTCATGGTTAGATTAGATGCATAATATCTGCAAACAACAACTTTCACCAACGATTTTACATTTGATTGGAGTCTGGACTTAGGCTGGGTTCCCTTTCTGCATCAAATTACTGAGATAATCATTAAAATAACATAGCCATGATTATGAAAATGAACAAATCTAAATGCTTTGCTGTGAATCAATGTATTGTACAATAGTGTAAATTCCACAGAAGCACCGAGAATATTTTTTGCAGCCGAGGAAAAACCTCACGACTGATTGATGAACATGCGATACAACCTACAATGATTTTTTAAGGAGCCAGAAAGTGTTTCTCTTTGAATATGAGAGAATCTGTGTGTGTGTGTGTGTGTGTGTGTGTGTGTGTGTGTGCGTGTCTGAAGGTGTCTGGTAGAGAGGCCTGCTTGGCATATGAGCTCACATCAACGTTCAGACTGACGGAGACGATTCAACTGTGGAAATTGTACAGTCATGTTGAAATGAGATCTGCTTTCCATTTATGTAACAATGCAAACTATTAGGGAGAAGGAGGGGCCTCCGAGCCCAGGCCCCGGAGTGTGTGTGTGTGTGTGTCTGCATCTTTTTATTTGTGTGAGACAGAAAGCGAAGCTACAAAAGCACCAAACCATAAAAAAAGATAATAGCCGCGTAGAAAAAGTTTTATCTGGAGAAAAATGGAAAAACATGTCAAGTCATTCGGATAGGGACCCTCAAACTTAAAACCATACGTAGCAGTTGGTTGTGTATGGTTTGTTTCTACCAAATACACAGGAATGTAGATGCGTGGGTCAGATTTTACCGCCGTTGCCTTTACCTACACGTGTAAAATAACAAGAACAAACCACCGTGCTTGGCAAATGCCGCAGGTAAAACATCAAACCCGTCAGTTCTTACAGAAGTCCAGGAGCCGAATCTCCACTGAGTCACAAGCTGAACGGTGTTGTCAGGGCGAGGCGTAATCTGAGCTGCAGACGTCCGTGGGCACGCAGGCATCTCACAGTCCTACAAAACATGAAGTTTACCACAGTTCACCAGAGGATTAGGATAAGAAACTGAAATATTGTCTGACAGAATCTCCCAAATTAAAAACAAATAAATAAATAAAAAATCCAGATTATTCCTGCTAGAATTTACACCAACCAAACAAAAAGGTTAATCTGTTCGGATGCTCTAACTGGTACCAGAGCAGAAAAAGCAAAAGGAATGTACATTTGTCATGCTTAAGTAAGAAAAGATAAAAATAAAATCTTTAAACAACAGGAGAGACCCAATGCACATTGAAAAAAGTGAATATTTACACATGTAACAAGATAGTTGGTGTGCTTACAATAGAACGCATTGTTTTACAAAAGTAACAAACTGCATTTTGTCACTGAAATACATACAAATAAAGTCTAAACTCTTTAGTGTGTAAGCAGTTTGCTTAAGTGGTTGTTTTTATTTAAAATGCCTCTTTAGCCCTACCTGACTGTCTCTGGGCCTCGCTGCAGCGTTGCACTCTCTGTCATCTACTGAGTCGCCGTAGTCCCCTAAGACGCACCTCACAGCCCTCATCTGGTACCCGTGTCCGCAGGTCACTGCACACTGAAACACAAAACCACACACGTGCTTAGACACAAATTAAAAAAAAAAAAAAGAAAAGGGGCGGGGGGAAAGCGTAAAATAGTTGAAGCCCTCTCTTTTTCGAGGTCAGTCAACGTCCGTCAAGGGAAAAGCTGATTAAGACTTTGACGTGCACTTATATGCAGTTCACCCACAGAGTCAACCTGACCCTTCACCTAATTGCCCCTTCACTTACAAAGCCACCCGACTGTGATTAGAAACACCGCGAGAGTGAAAGGAAGTGCTGAGATGGGTTTATTTGACCAGCAATTTATAATCACACGAGCACAGAAGGGAAGATGCCCTCCAGCACTTGCAAATATCTTATTTCATAGAAACATGCAGGGAGGAATTAGCCTTGCATGTATAAACTATACAATGACATCCATTCATAGATGTTTTGAGTTGTTTGCTGAATTCGCTCAAATACCCGAATCCAAAGTTGGAATCGTCAGTAAAGACAGGAACTGCATGTGTGAGAAGAAGAAAAAAAAAAGTCCAATAAGGACTGATAGATAATGAGAGAAAATCGAAAGAATCTTAGAGAAAATGAAAGATGGATTTACGAAGAGCTTCTTGCTTATCAGATGAAAAACACACCAAAACAAGAGTCAAAAATGTTCCAAAAACGTCTCTGATAACGTTCGATTAAGTCAAAGCGGAGTTCCAGGACTGCGTCTTGGAAAGTCCCAAAAGGTCGCTTTTATGACTAACAGTAAAGTGTGAAAGGGGAAATAAGCACTAAGTTCCAGTTAAAATCCTGGTAAGTTTTAGAAAGTGAATTAAAAGTTCAGCGTAAGCATGCGGGATGTTTTATAAACAACTGGGTAACTGGAGCCAGTAAGTTCACAGAAAACAAACAGAAAGTTATAGAAGAACACCTGGTAAGATATGGAAAGTAAAAATTACCTGACATCTAAGACTGCTGAGCTTTAGATATCAGGCAATATCTAAAGCTCAGAGGTTAGAAAGCAACCTCTACATTTCTGCAGAGGAAATGTAGATGTGAAGGAAAGTTCCAGGAAAGTAACTAGTGAAATCATATAAATGTCAGAGTAGCATTTACTATTTCTGGGGAAGTAACCAGTAAAATGCAGGAAATAGCAGGTTTACTTTGTGCAGTGCAACCTAAGCACAAATAATCAAGGTTGCCCGTCACTGATTTATTGACTGAAAGCGTTCATGTGGTTCTTGTACTTTTCATTTCTAACCTATATAAGTTGAACCATTTTTTTTTTAAATGTAGTTATTTTAACCAATCTAGCATGCGATTTAAGTATTGTTCAAGAATAATTTACAGTACGTCTGTGAGAGTGTGTGCACTGAACTCACCGCTCCCCAGACGCCGACCTGCCACGTCGCGCACTCGGGGAGTTTGCAGCTCCCCACAGTGGGAGGTTTGCTGGACGGGTCACAGAAATGTTCGCTCAGCTTTTCCTCCCCGGCTCCCGTAGTGCAGGACACTTGGCGGTGCCTCATTCCTTTCCCACAAGTCACCAGACACTGGTGGTGTTTGGGCATTTAGGAAAAGAGAGGATGAAATGATCATTTCTATCATTTCTATCAGTTCCAGTGTATAGAGATAAAATCAAAGATTCCACTCCTAAAACAGCACAATTTACAAATATCATCCTATTTTTGACAACTATGCTTGAATGTGAAATTAAAAAACAAAACAAAACGTGGGTTCGATTTGTTGCGCTCTCTTTCCAAACTTGACTTTGCAAAACTGTAGTTGCAGTTTTTAATTAGCATTTCACAAGGTTTAAAGAGGCTTGGCTTCGTTGCAAACGGAGAACTATTACAAATTATTCATGCTTTCAGTGTGTATTTGTGAGAGCCCACCTCGCTCCACTCACTGACTGTCCACTTTGGACACGGCTGGTCGTTGCAGGGCTCGGTCACCGCCCTCTCATAGTCGCTGCACTCTCTGTCCACCAACCGCCGGCCCAGGTTGTTCATGCAGTAAGACTCTCTGCTACGAATCCCGCGTCCACACGTCTTAGAGCACTGCACAACGGGGCTTTTTAGTGCGGCTTCGGCTACAAGGGTCAAGCTCGCAACAGTTATTTTTCTGCAGACGTTACCTGCGACCATGCGCTGTACTGCCAGCTCTTAAGCAGACAATCCCCGTGGCAGGTCTCCCTCATCTGAGGTTTGGCAATGTCGCCGCAGACGCTGGCCTCCATCCTCTCGCTGCGTCTCTTCGTCCGGCTGTACTTCATACACTGAACATCCAGGCTGCGGTAGCCGGGGCCGCATTTCGCCGAGCAGTCGCTCTTTCCGGCGACGTGCCATCTGTAGAGTGAAAGATGTTTGCGTGAACGTCTGGGAACGCTGGGGCTTGTCGAAGGGCTGCGTGTCGGTATCGTGGCTGTGTTGGTTCCTGAATTCCCACCTGACTTCGCAGTCGGTGTTGCAGGGCTCAGTAAAAGCAACGGGGCGAGGTAAATGTTCGCAGCGTTGATCGGATACTTCAAGGTGATCGCTGTCCCGAACGCACACGGCCTTCCGTCGTCTCTCACCTGAACACAGGACGAAAACCAAGGCTGGCATTAGATAGGTCCTTGTAAATATGGTCTGTGTTTGTCCTTACATTATTCCACTTTGCACTTAGATCAAATGGGAGACTCTGTTGTCACGCGGTGTATGGCAGTTTCACACTTACTGGCAGCCAATGTAAACCAACAAACGACAACAGAGAAAGAGAGCAATAATCAGAGAAGCAGCCGTGATGTCCAGAGTGACGCCAGAGGAGCTGAGGGGATCAACAACGTTGGTAAGACTCTTTTCTTAATGGAAAAGAGTCAAGAAGAAAGCCATAAATAACAGGCCCAGTTTGTCTTAAGCCGCAGATCGCAGCGGTTCCCAACCACCAGCCTGTACCGCCCCATGGGTCGTTTGGTGCCGAGACATCATTTACTTGGTATCCACAATCAGACCACTGGACCAATTTTATTCCGAAATACCAGCAGCCTTCACCTGCTTCTGTAAATGCGCTTGACCACACCGTCCCCACACCACTGAGAGGAGTCTGCACAGCACAGCTGAGGTCGTACCTTGACAGAGGCGGCTGCATTCCAGCCAGGAGCCGGAGGGATCCCACACAAACTGCTCCCCCTGCTCCTCGATGGGTATGTTGAAGGAGTAACGCACATCTGGGTTGTAAAGGTTCCCCACGCACAAGACCTGCCGAAACAACGGCGTCCACACTGAGACGTCACATCTTTAAACGGAGGGATTAAAACTCGCTGTGCGACAAAGAGAACCTTCTGCAGGGGTTTATGTTAAAAAAAATGAGGCTCTATCAAAAAAAAAACAAAACAAAAAAAACGATTCGGTAAACAAAACAAAAACGCAAACGTTTTTTAGTACCTGCAAAACGAGCTCCTCCTCGATGCGGTCCGTGCAGTTGATGCGCTCCACTTTTGTGTCCGAGCCGCTGTACTCGATGACCGTTCCCTTGAAGGTGATTTCCCTTTTGAACATCGCCACCACAAAGTTCCCATTCAGGAGGAAGTTGGACTGGCCGTCAGACAAAGCTGAAAAAAAAAGAAAGAAGCAGATAGTTGAGGAAAGGTTATTTTTAATTCTTCTCAAATTAAAATAATGCTGTGGAAAGCACTCAAATAGATGTAACTTTGGTTGTTTTTTTTTTCAAAATTTGCTACGTAAACAAAACTTTATGGAAGTTAAAACAAAACAGACTCTATATTTAATGCGTTTTGCAGGATGTGGAATATATTTCTTTGTTTCTGTTCATAATTGCACACCAGCTGGAAAAATATATATATACATTTGATAGCTTTGTCAAAGTCATTGCTACAGGCAAATCTGAGTTAGTCGGAGGTGTGCTCCATTCAAATACTGGCACCGCGATGTAAACAAAGTCTTTCCACTAACTGCAAATACAAATGAATACATAAATGTTCATTTGTAAGCAACCAACCAACCAAGAAACCTGGAGTTAATTCCAATCCGATGGCGTTCACCAAACTGAATGTATGTGATTATTCCTCCAGATAAAACTTTGTTTATCCTCTAATTCGCATATTGCTGCATTCCAGCAAACCAATTAGAACCGACAGTGATCTCTGCTTGGCACGGCCAACGTGCCGCACGAACGTGCCTGAAAAACACACAGCCGCATACATGGACTACATGCTACATGGGACATAAACAGCTGCAATCTTTCCTCATGTCTGACAGACACCAGATGTGAAACACTGTTTTCCAAAGAACACTTAACTAATTTGGCCGGGATGTTTTCAAGTGTATTAAGGTTTAAGAATAGCATAAAAAAAAAAAAAGAAACGTTTTATTTAGACTAACGGAGGAAAGAAAAAGAGACGGAAGAATTAAATACATGAGGAAGAACGACTGAGGCCAAATTAGGAAAAAGCTGCGTTTTTGTACGCAACAAACAATTTTCTTAGTGCTGATCATTCGCAGCACTACGAACTTTGCAGATGCTGAATTTACACTTTCATGACTCGCTTGTTTTGTTGAGAAACACAAACTTTTCAATCAGTCTTACTGATTTATTCTGAACTTTTATAGATTCATAAATAGATATTTTGATTCTGGGTTTGAATTCTTGAGCAGGTTTTTTTTTTTTTTTTCTTCTACAATATCCAACAGAAAAGACACTAAACATGTCCTTATGTCCGTACAACAGCTTTCACACGGCTTTGGGTTGCACATGCTTCCAATTAGCACTTATTAAAGTCTTGTTTATCGTTCACATGACTGACACTTCGTTTGCATTCCCAACAAAAGCCTCGACCAACCCAGACGGACCCCTCTGGAAGTCCCATGTTGTCTAAAGCTCAATGAAAGCTGTAGATTTGTTTGAAGCGTTTGGACACCAGTTTGGCCTCTCTTCCATTTCCTTTTGTTACAAATAACAGCTTTTCCAGATCAGGGTCAAAAAGTGATGAATGGTTTTAAAATGTGGTTCTAAAACCAGTAATAGCATTGACCGTTGTGGATGCTGTCTCCCTTACGCATTTCTGCTTAAAGCTGAGACAGGTAACCTTTTTTTTTTTTTTTTTTTTTTTTTTTACATAACTTGTTAAAATTGACACTTACTGTCACATACATAACTTTCATTATGTCTGTACATGAGACAAGTGAGGAGAATAATGAGCGAGATGCTCTGGTCTTTTTCTTAGAATGTTTTCTTAAATCTTGAACTTTGACCTTAACAAAGCCAAGTGAGCTCTGCAGTGCTTCAGTGTCGAATGGGTTTGTGATTTTGTTTCGGCCGACGACTCCTGGTCACTATTACAGGATTTCTCTGTTTATGACCAGTTGACTGGATCACCTTTTATGAATGGCTTTGTGATTCCTTTAAAGACCGATTCATACCAGGAACTTTTCAACATTTCTCTTTTGTTTTTATTTTTTATTTTATTTTTTTTTTAGATCAGGGCATCATATCAAACTGGTTCTGTTTGAGTGATTTTCTTGATTTTCCAGGTCTGGCTTTAATCAAATATGAATTTGGCACAGAAAAATGAACCAAATGTGGTCAGGCAAAGGGAATTATGTTTCAACAAGGCGTTGGGTCAGGCTGGGGCTAAACTTTCTGACGGGTCCAGGTTAGCTTGGATAGTTGTTTCCATTAATAAATTAAATCGTCACCTGAAAGCTATATTTTGAATTTCCTGTTGTCTTCTATTAACATTTTTAATACCATGGACGTACACCAATCCCACTCACCGAGGTAGTTGTCATCTTCTGGTTTTCCAGAGTAGCTGACCTGTTTGACGTCAATATTGGTGGCTCCGGCTGGAATCCGCACAACTGTGTTATAGCCTGACCAAAAAAAAAACAACAAAAATAAAATGTATAGACAGCACGTAGTTTAAGTCTCAAAAGGGAATAAAGGAGCTGCAGCAGCATCAACAGAAACATTCAGACTTGACTTTCGTAACAGCTTCACTATGCTACAGTAAACTCCATTCAGGTCCCTCCACTGGGGATTTAAATGTCACACTTGGAGAAATATGAAAACTGTCATCTTAAATAAGCTGCATGAGAACTTGTTTTTAGTCCCAGAGGCCTGTTCACGAAATAATCTGTAATTACTCCCTGGCCTTTCTATTTTGGCCTGTAATTACGGCGCCTGTTTTGTTGTATGGTGATAACCTGACACAGAATACAAGGGAGTGTGTGTGTGTGTGTGAGTGTGTAAGAGAAATAAAGACAAAGAGAGCAATTAATTGAAAGCCAAGTGGTGACAACTAAAACGTACATATGAAGACTATAATATAGAATGACAAATACATGATTAACATACAGAGGTGGGTAGTAACTTGTTACATTTACACAGTTACATTGCATTATCAATATGAAGTACGGCAACTCATACAATTTCTGTAAACCTCACCCACTGCGAGTATCGGTGTGATCCATTAGTAGTCAGGAGGTAGAAATGGACAAAAAATGGACTTCCCGCTCGGAAAGCCTGAGAAACTGAAACCACACACCGCTACGATTCGAAAGGTCGACTTTGCATTTCAATATGGTGCTGCTCCTCCCATCAGCAGTAGTAAAAAACATGAAGCGGAAACATGTTTATTTTACAAGACACACTTGTAAAAAATTAATGTTGCATGAAACACCTGCAACAAATTATGTTTGTGTTTGCTTATGGAAAGTAAAAACGCAAAACAATGTTTGTAAGAGGAATAACGTCTGCTTGGGCGTCGGCACGTTTCAAGTCCGACTCCTGCGATGTTGTCGTATGTTAGTTAGAATGTTGTTTCTAGGTAAAAATGCAGCATAACTTCACAGAATAAAGAGCAAGTTTCAGCCAAACATGCACCAGACCGTCAGTTTATGTGGAAGTGAAACATTTTGTTTGTTTGTTGTTCTATTGTTATTTCCCGTCACCTGAGTCCATTTTGCCATTTGGTGATGACTGTGTTGTAAACTCCATGTTGTCACCAGAGTACTTTACCCTGTTCTATCATATATATGAACCTATATTAAGTTTTAATTCAGAGTTTTATTCTTAAAAATGCTGATTAGAAAACTTCTGCCTAAAGTTTTTTTTTTTTCATGACACTGTTGGTGCCAATTTTCAAAGTTGACTTTCTGCTGCTAAGTGCTGTGGTTTAGCAACAATGTGGCTTTCCCCCCCCCCCCTTTGATTCAGTCATGAATTGGCATGAATTAAATTTTCATGACATTGAAGAGATTTGACTGAATTCCTGTCATTGCAATTTGATCTAAATAAGCCAGGGAAGTAAGTCAGTGTAACGTGATCTCAAGAGCTAAAGTCAAAGTTTAAGCTAGCACCTTGAGCCACTCGGGGGCAGCAGTCAGTTTACTTATCTACCTCTCATCAGATTTCATAATGTTCCCAGAAAATTAAACTATCATTTACCTGTGTCACAATAATTTATGTCAGTGCAAAAAGAAACAAAAAAAAAAAAAAAGAAAAACACAAACATTTTATGTTTACCATTATCAGGAGACCTATTTTTTTCTCAACATTACTGCATCCTCCTTGTTTTTTTTCTCATGGCTATAAATCATATTCCCTCTAAAAATAGCATAGAAAATATTTAAAGTTTAAAGCTTGATGTCGATGGTCATTGCAAATAATAATCTATCTTTATGCTATTCTGCACTTTATGTTGTTTCACACATCATTGTTGTGGTGCTATTATCTTCATAAGACTCTACTGAGACAGAGTAAACACATCTGGATCATAGAACATCACAATTTGGAAGCTTGAGGTTTACACTCCACGACTCTGACCTTTTCTCAATTAGAAATGTTTTTAGGCAGCAAATTTTGCCATTTGGTTGACAAAGAAAGAGTGTCGTAGCCTTCTTTCAGTCATCTGACAATATTTGCAGCAACAGGTGAGGGAGGGGAAGCTCTGGGCTCCATACAGCTGGAGAAAAGACTCTAGCAAAGTAAAGTTAAATAGTTACTTTATAAAACTTTGGTGCCAAATGAACACATTTATTTTTTTGTCCAATTCTTTCAAGTGTCACCAAACTTCACTGTTGGGGCATCAACAGTGAAGTTGATGCCCCAACACAATACCGTGTTGGGGCATCACGGTATTCCTCATTACTTGTTGTTATCAAGCTAGGATAACAACAAGTTATCCTAGCTTTATTTAGTCTTCATAACAGAGTTATGAAGACTAAATAAAGAAAGGTCAATAGTCCACAAATAAGACATTAAGAGGCATCTAACAAAAGAAACAAAACCGGAAGAGTTGACAGTGAGACGAGCCAAGATCCATGAAGCAGAAGGATATCCTGCCTGGGCTGCACTCCCACTTTGATTCCCCCTTCTTATAGTTAAGCCAGATTTCCAGGACTGACGTCAGCAGCTGGTTTGGTTGAATTCAGTCTTCTATCTTTTCGCCTCCAAGCAGCCAAGAGAGAGAGAGAGAGAGAGAGAGAGAGAGAGCAGAACGAAAGCTACCAGATAGAGATGCAAATGCTTAATGTCAAACTTGCAGGAGTAAGCAAGAGGAAAGCCCCACCCAGGGCTGTTTGTTATTTGCTAATGCTTCAGCTGTGCTGTTGCCCAGACCTCGACAGATTTGGACGGAGTCAGCAGCTGGCTCACGCTGCACGTTTGTTGCCATTGAAGCCAAATGACTGAGGTGGGCTCATCGTTTTCTGAAGCTTTGGAGGAGATTGGCTTCGACTGGGCATTTTCCCAAATTTGTCCGAAACATGTATGCATATGATGTGAATAAACATAACCAGACAAGAAATCAGAGTCAAACACAGCCATGCGGCCTGTCCTGTCAACACCGTGACAAAGAGGAATTGGAAATCTGTCCTCGTTTGTTTACCATGTGTCCCCATTTATCTTGCTGGAGCTGCTGACACGATATGGCGTACGCTCAAGAGCAACGCAGACTGCTTTAAGAGATGATGGTAATCTGAGCAGCGGTGCTTACCGTACTGGGCGTCGTTGAAGGTCCCCGCCAGAGTTTTGCACGAGGAGTTGTCCCCACCGCACACTCCACATTTGTCATTCCGTGCCTTTGAGTTGAGAACATGGTCGCAGCCTGCTTGCTAAAAAAAAAAAAAAAAAAAAAAAAAGGGGGCAAGATGATTTATATCAGATGTCATGGTATTTTCACAAACAAACAAAAAAAAAAAGAATGCATTAAATATGTCAGCTGAATATTTGCAATGCTCATTGTTAAAGTTAGATTTACTTATATGTTACCAAAAACACTTGGGGCTTTGATAAAAACAGATTTCTGAATGAAATTTGATGTTTTTTGTGATCGGAACTGATTCAGGTTTGGCTGGGTCGAAACTAAAAAAAAAAAAAATGTATCTTTTTCCACGAAGCGAAGGCCTCATAGCTGTAACAATAACTCTCTTTAAAATGAGGGAGGTAGAACTTTTTCAATGACGTTAAGGTTTTTAAAAATGAAGCTGGAGGAAGAACAGAACCCACGTAAATCCATTTAAAAACACACTTTTTTTTTTAATTGTGTGGGAGAGAGCAAAGCGTCGTCAGATAACATGAAGGCTAATCATATTACAGCAAAGCCAACCTGTTTCATCTCTCTGAGAGTTCAACCTCACAGTGTTGGAATATACTAGATTGAGGCATTCTGGGAATATTTAATCTAGGGAAGAAACTGAGACTGTTGTTTACAATTACTATTGATAAATGCTGTCAACTCCATAAACCTTTTGACATTGTTTTAAAATAATTGTAAAGCCGTCTACTGTAAATATATAGTATATGGCACATTGTCGTGTTAAGGTACAATGGGTAAAAATATATTTAAACGCTGTCGAATGTAGAAAATAATCTGAATTTTCTAAAATCAGTGTAAAAGTTTTGCAAAAACCACAGATGGAAAATCTGTCACAAAACTCTGTTCAGTGCAGCTTTATTAATGATTGCAACCAAGAAATGGTTAACTAAAGAGTTGCATCCAACTGGATGTAAACACATCTTTAGCTTGCAAACGCTGGCTTCTCTGCAACTCCAACACAATACTTCTGACATAGATTTAAGCTTGTGTATAAATGTCTTACGGTGTGCTGTGACAGCAAGAAAATAAATATGCGGATCTACCCTGCAGAGGCCTTGAACACAGATGTCGTAAGTGTCTGGACCACACGGCGTGCCGTCCACCACGCGGTCCTTCAGCTGATAGTAAGCCATAGTGCCAGCGACACGGCAAAAGAGCTTACAGCGATCCTTCATTAGTACTGAACAGAAAGAGGAAGGGGAAACGTTAGACTGCCACTAATTGAGCAAATTGCAAACATCGGACCGTGATGCAAAGACCTGGGGGTGAGTTGTGCGATCACAAATTCATAACACCTTTTTCTGCAAACATCAGCAGAGTCCTCTAAGCCACATCTTTGTTTAGCGCTTGGACGAAAGTCAAGTTTTGTCTGACACAGTGCCGTCTCCAGGGGTTGTCTTCTTTGCTTGTATGGTCTCAATTAAACGAGTGAATCACCACCAGTAAATTTACCAGATGGTAATCTTGTGGGCTGTCCATCTTGTCTGAGGTGCAGCTGTGTGGGGTTGCAGCTGTCGGGGGTGCCGGGGGGGAGGGGGGGTGCTAGTTTGAAAGGGCCGCATGCGGCTTTTACAGCACTTCTGGATACCAACTTGATGTTTTCCAGCATCACTCACAGGGCAGATAGTAGAATCGGTGCCATGTCAGGAGAGTACAGCGGACGAGAAGCACTTAACGGGTAGCAGATTCTCAAAAGACAAAATGTCAACTTTTAGTATCTGCTTGTTTTGTGCCTTTAAGCATTTTTTTTTTAAAGGCTCACAAGCAGTAAAACAACCCAACCTCACAAGAGCAGTCAAGATGATCAGCTCCCATTTGTGGACACTTTGGTGGAGAACCAGCTTTTGGGTCATCGAAGCGCATCGCATCGCAATCCCAACACTCACTGCCTGACTACACATCCAAACGGACTTTTCTATAGTAGATGCACTCAATGCTCCACAGAAGTTCATTACTATTAGCTGTGCTTTCTTTTTATTAGTTTGATTATTGTCTTGTTATGATCCGTGATAATACTGTTGGTACCTTGATAGTGGCGTCTATTTTTACTTCCATAAACGGCGACGCCTGCGGTCTTCCTCTGCACATGTGGGTTGCTTTGGGGTCATAAGCCGTCCACTCAAATGTCTAATGGTGGTCGCAGCAAAATATTGAATTGCTGTGTGAATGAATCCTTAGATAAAGTAAAAATAATTCAACACATTTTCCACTAATTTCTACATTTTGTTTAAAACGCCTGAGATTGTTAAAGTACATCTATTTAATTCTATTCTATCACATCCTACACCAAGATATTATAAAAATCAAGGTTAATATGAAGAAGCAAAATCCTTGAAGGGATTTGAATGCATTGTGATGTACAAATGGCAAACAGCAGATTTTTCATGCGCACCAAAATTAGATTTCAATGCGACAATATCAAGTATTTAATTTAACTGACCGCAGTGTTTGAGTTCAAACTTGCGACATTTGCCCAACGCCTCTTGTTCTGTGAGTGTGTGTGTGTGTGTGTGTGTACTCACTGCCACTGTACTTGGGGACCCATCTGACGGAGGGAGGTAGACCGTTGATATTAAAGTGCTTGCCGTCAAACTGAGAGCACTGCTCTTCCCGGAAGTCCTTCCTTTCCCGTGGACACGGCTCAGTGTTGCAGGAGCGGAACTTCATTCTACGGCCCACGCAGAATCTCCCGCCGTTTCTGGGCCTACGACGTTGAAGAATAGAAAAAAAAAAAAAAGAAAAATCACAGAAACGCCACTGTGCTGAGCCCGTTTCTCGTGTTTTTTTTTTTTCTTTCAGATCGTTGTCGACGTAATGATATAAGATTTCTCTAAGACGCATAAGGGATTCTTTCTTACTCAGGTTTGTTGCAGTCTCTGGTGGTGCTCCTCGTTCCTCCACCGCACGACCTGGAGCAAACGCTGTAGGGCCCCCAAGGGCCCCACTCTCCATTCACAGGCCGAATGTCCAACTCCTTGTTTATGCACATCCCATGTTTGCAATACTGCACGCAAAAACAAACAAACGGGTAAACAGCAATGGCCGTGACTCTTGTCGATATCATCGGAAATTGTGATGAGCACAGCTTGGAAAAGTCAAATCAAAGTAACCGCCTAAAACCAACATTTTACCTCAAATCCTCTTTTAGCTACTGTTTACAGTGTACCCGTTAAGCAACCTCAGTCCAAAAGAGGCGCCCTCACAGGCGATTCACAGCGGGCGCATTTCCCTTTGTGTGAAACCAAATTCCCTCCCGAGTGACTCGGATATCAGAGGGTCCTGTTTGCTGAAAGAATGCAGGACAAAACGGCGTCTGTCTGGGTACGTAGCCCGCCGCCCGCGCACACAGGTGGTGGGCAGTGTCACCGTGATAAGGAAACTCTAGAGTTGTGATAACAAGAGGAACAAAACTTATTACTGGCTCAACATCAGGAGCTCTCTTCTCCTGCTCAGATGAGGCAAGCAAACTGATGGGCAATGTGGGAAAATACAACAGCAGCTTCTTTACAGGTCAGCTTTCATCATCTGCTGGTTCATCTTAATTCTTTTCTTTTATTATTAATCCTTTAAATGTTTCATTGTATTTGAAATGGACAAAATCACCTTAAGAAAGCATCTAAACATGTCTGTCAGTGTTCAGGTTAGTCCTATGTTTACACGTAGTACTAAAGGTAGACGGCTGGAAAAAAAGGAAAAACTTTGCGATCAGTAAACGCACCATACGGTACAGTATGGAAGATGACCAGGTCAAGAAGATGGAAACATTTTTCTTCTAAAAGACTGTCAGTTTCATAAACACTCGCGTCCACATGGGATCATTTGCAGAAATGTTTTCACCCACACAGCAAAGGAACGGCAGAGACGCAGCTGGGCTAGTTTTCACAAAGGAGTCGTTTTCGCTGTCCACATGAAATTTTCACTCCGGTTGTCTACAAATATAGATAGCTCTATGTGTGTGCGTTATCTATACCTATGATCAATAAAGTGCAAGTGACCTACAGAAGAAGAGAGACTTCAGCAGGAAAGCTGAATAAAAAACAGAAAAATTTCTTCATCCAGTAGAAAATTCGACCTCTTTCACTGAGCAGTTGGATTTTGAAATGTTGTCCGTCCTTTCAAACTTTTAGACTCAAAATGAGAACCTGCATCATTTCAAAAAATATACATATATTGAGACTGTTGTTTTAGTTATGATAGCCACTTTAAACAACTTGCTAAAGTAAGTTGACTAAAATGTCAACTCCTACACCATCTTTTCTCTGGTTTTTAAAACAGTAGTAAAACTTCTTCTTTTAGGAATAATTAAAAAAATGTTTGAAAAGACATCAGAACTGGTCATAATTGGAATGAAAAATAAAAAAATAAAAAATAAAAAAACAGAAAAACTGGAGATCAGATCAGAGACAGGGCCACGAACCTCTGATTGGTGCAGCTCTAATTTCCATAATGCAAATTAAAAACAGAAACAGAAATGGGTTGATGCATCTGCTTTTAGGCATTTAATCTAAGGGAATATCAGGTGTAAGTCTCAGCACAATTACATATCACAATATATTTTTCTTAAAGATAAAAAATTAAAGACTTACAGAACGATTATAAACAACTAAACACTTCCAGAACATGGTAGTAATGCCTCTTTGTTGAAACCCGGCTTAGTTTTCATATTTGTTATTCAAGCCAGAGGTTGCAATGTTGAAGTGTCAACTCGGCGCACAGGTGTTCAGAGTTGCACAAACTGCAAATGTTTACAAAATCCGGATTTGTTTTTCTTAGAAATGTCTCGACTCGGGTCCTCTGGTCTGGAGCCAACAGGAGATGCAAATCTCAGGCGCTGATAATTTGGTTGGAGCGCCATCTATCTGGATCCACAGCGGTAATTTATCAAGAGGTGCTGACAAGAAAGTGATGAATTATCCATATGCGTAGTATAAATGGCTTCCATACAGCAAAAAGGCAAACAGATGCATTTATTTGTTGGTTGAGCAACAACAGGAAAGAAAAAAAGTATTAAGAAGAAAAACGTGCCGTGGATCTGTTTGCATCTTTTCCTGCGACAGTAGTCAGTAGTTTAAGTTACGCAAGTATTTTTTTTACAATTTTCTCCTACATTTGCTAAATATTTGAATTTATTAACTCAAGTTCAGTACACCATCATGATTGACAGCGTTAAGCTCCTCTTCTTGGCTCTGATTGGTTGTTTTTGATTGGGAGCGGTGCATTACTGCACATCGCAGGAGAAGGAAGAGGAGATTGATTTTTTTTATTCACAGATTACCCGTCTCGTACTTTTTAACAAATACGCAAAAAACTGTTTTTGTAAAAACAACATAACGGGAAGGCGCATAAATGTTTGTGGAGATTGTGGGATAGTAAAATCTCATTTTAAAGTAAGTTTGCAGCAGTTTTTTTTTTTGTTTTTTTTTTTGTTCCCCCGGGTCCCTCCCCCCCCAAAACCAACTTAGTGACTCGCAACCCAGACCGTCGCATCTCTTGCATGCATTTCAACCCATCCCCCTCATCCTCGTAATGGGAAATTGCCAAAGCCACGTAGAGACCACCACAGCGCAGCCAGGCAGCGAGACCCAAGGACCTGTCAAGCACAAGGAGGACTGTCTGTCACGCAGCACCAAAAGGCTGTCTAAGCCTCTGAGGCATTCCTCTATCCCCGCTGACAGCCTGTGTTTACAGCCATTTTGTGTGGCTTGAAAAGGTGATGTGGGAGGAGGGAGAAAGGGGGGAAAAAAGGAGGAAAAGGGGGCAACAGAAAGGGGAAAAAAACATCTGTGAGAGGTGATGTATGCGAACGCGAGCATGTGAACGAGTGTGAGTGTGCGCAGGATCGAATGTGCGTTAGAGAGGGAGGGCGCGAGTGAATGCTGAAGGGGGTCCTGAGACATCTGGGGGCCATGCGCACTTCCAATTAGCCTCCTTCTAAAAAGAGGCGCAAACACGCTTTAAAAACACTGAGGTGGCAAAGTTCAAACTGCCGTTACGGGTACGGTCCGGGGAAAGGTTGTCAAACTTTGCTTAAAGTTTGATGTGTTGTGAGACATTTGAAGGTCCTGTGGGAGAAGCACACACAGCTGCGACAAGCATGTGTTTGAAATCAGGAACTCGACTCTGCCTCGCCAACACATGGCAATAAGTGCAAAATCAGAGTGAGATTTGGTCCATCTTTCCCTGTCCTGTTGGCAAATATGCAAACAATTTTGTCACTTGTTTCTTAGCCAAAACTCTAAGCGTTTAACCCAACCTCAACCCTTGAAAGAGCGGCTAAGTAGATGCTTCCTGCAACAGAGAGAGCAACTAGAACAGCCTCTATGGTGCTGTTCAGCTTGCCGGTTTGGAAGCAGTCTGTAATTGTCAGGAAGCTACGGCGGAGAGCACCTTATTTCGAAGCTAAAGCCATACATCACCGCAGGAATGAGAAGGCGGCGAACCCTGCTCTTTCATTTTAACACGGCCGTTTCCAAAAGACATCACCTTTCATGCTGTTGTGTTTTTTTTCTCCCGGCTGTGAATAGGGAATACGCTTTAACCTTAACCTCTTGGCATATGTGTCCGAGCGTTGACGGCAAGCCCTCGGTCAAATCAAAAATAACTGGAGCCACCGATCAAAGTGGGAGACTACGGACCATCACAGCTGCTTTCCAATAAGCCACCATTCACTTTTACATATGTTAGGACTTGACCTGAAGGCGGGAGGTGACAGGCAGGGATTCTCTAAGGGACCCTGCTTGGGTGGAGACTGGACATAATCCAAGTGACAGCTGTTATTTCAAAGTGGATTTACGCCGGCTGACAGCTCTGCCTTTCCTTATTGCCTGTCAGATCCATTTTTTTGTCGCGGAAAGACAAGAGGAAAAGGAACGCAGAGAGGAAGCCAAGAGAGAACCGACGGCGACCTGAAGCAAGCTCATCTTTTCTCACGTAGCCACATTTCCTGTCCTGTTTGTTGCTACCTCTCTGTAATCCCTCCGTGCCGCACATCTTTTAAAGAAATGCAGAGGGTGTCATTAGTGGGAATGAGTAGTTTGGCTACATCAGCTGTTCCACTCACGTGCACTTCAGGGCTTTACTTTTACTGCTAGTGTGACTTGCTTATAATCATCCCTGTACAACCAGCAAGAAACTAACACCTGTAGATTTTTTTAAAGCTAGAATCCTAAATAAAGGTATATCGAAACGGACAGAAAGAGAATTAGATTTCTATGCTAAAAACATACAATTTTAAAACTGTCATATTGGGGGTAAGAGAGACCAATCCACGTAGAGAAGTCTTAGAAATGCAAATACAGGCAAACCTGCTCTGTAAGGGTACCTCCTAAATCGCCCATTTTGATTGAAAGGTGGGGGCGCACTTTCTGCGCTCGGTTACAAAAACTGGGAGGTACACCAGGACCAGAGCGCAAGGCCCAACAGGCTGGGGAAGGGCCCAGTTCAATGTGCACACTATAAACCTAGCTTAAATACTGCAACGACGATCGCCGGGATGAGGAACAGGTGATTGTCATTACCTAAGCGTGCTGCAGCTTCGGGGTTAGCTGAGGGAAAATGGCTCTTAAATGACACAAAGCGTACAAAGAAGAAGCAACAGCGGCAGGAGTAATAACTGAAGAGAGCAAAACCAACAAACATAAAACACAGGACTGCAGTCAAATTACAGAATTAACAAAAAAAATACAAAATGCTATGATACCCAATATATTATGGCGATTACATTTAATACTTTCTGTACACTGGACACCCTTTTTGGGGTTTTTTTTGTTTTGTTTTTTGCTCAGTACTGCTGATTCTTTTAAAGAAGTGCAATTCCAAATCGAACAGTACTTCACAGCATGTTTTGTGTTGTTTCTTACAAAGATGGTGGATGCCGTCTTTGACAGACAATTTACAGAGTGAACTGGAAAAGACGATGCACAATCTTTTTAAACACAGATCTTAACCACCATGGTCAAAACCTCAATTTAGATACAAATCCCTACAAAAGATGAAATACAAAAT